GGGGGGGTGAGGGGGAGGGTCTCAGCCCTCCTGGGGGTCCTCGGTGAGGGGCAGGCAGCCACAGGAGGTCCCCGGCACTGCTGGCCACGGGGCCTGGTGGTCTTGGTGGTTTCCAAAGCTTCTGCTGACCTGGTTGAGGCTCCGATCTCCAGAGGGTGGCCGGTGTGGGGGGTGGGCACAGAGGGTGCTGCTCCGTGTGGGGCCAGGGGCTCCTCCCGTGGCTGGCGTGCCAGCCCCAGGCGGGGGAGAGTCCGTCCCTGCATCTCTCCGGAGCAGCGGGCGGACGCACACGCTACGGTGCCCGCTGGTTCTCTCGTAATCCCCCCAAATCTGCGACTCGAGTGCAGGGGCACAGAGCCGGGTGTGTGGAGGAGTGGCCGCCTGGGCCCCCGCGCAGAGGGCTGCCCCGCGCGGCTTGCCGCCTCTGAAGAGGGGTCAGCGGGGTGGGCCGCCCGTAAAGGTTGAGCGGTGGCCCCCATCCCCTGAAGGTGTGTCTGCGCCCCGGAACCCGTGAACACAGCCTTCTTTGGAAAAAAGCTTTGCAGGTGTTACTATGTGAAGGATCTCAACATGAAACCATTCTGGATTAGCATGGGCCCTAAATCCCAAGACAGCGTGCCTGCGTGAGGGGAGGCAGAGGTGGGAGGGATGTGGCCAGGGGCCCAGGATGCCTGGGGCCACCAGGAGCTGGGAGAGGCAGGAGGGACCCCCCCCCCCAGGCCCCGCCCAGAGCCTCAGGGGAGCTTGGCCGCCCCAGCTCGACGGAGTAGCTCTGTGTTGTGTAGGCTGCCTGGTGTGTGCTCCTGTGCGGCCTGGCGGATGAGTGCAGGTCTGTAACCAGACGTTAGGAGCCTGTGGCACTACCCACGGTGCCTGGGATGGGATATGGGAGAGGACGGTCTGGAAGAAATGGAAAAAAGACACAGGAAAGTCCTGGGTTCCCTGGAGGAAATGATTGACGGAAACACGGCCGTGGGGGTGGTTCCAGTAAGAGCTCCGGGGAGTGAGGAGCGTGGCGGGGACGGTCTGGTCAGGGCACAGGCAGCTGGAGGGTGCCGTACGCGCTGCTGGTGAGGTCTTGCATGGAAATGGGGATCGCTGGCTACGGGAGGAAGGCCACTCTTGTCACAGACGGTGGCAGACAGGCCGAACCTCATGGAAGACACTGTCTGGGGCGGTGAATGGGAATTGAATCAACCTCAGAGCAGAGAAGCCAGTGCCTGAAGACTCGGGGCCGCGGCCCCGTCGAGACCGCGGGGGACACAAAGTTAGGAGATGCACTCTGGAAGGAGGGTCGTGGGCGGGGACAGCCTTGGTGGGAGAGCTCCGTGTGTTGATGGGCGGGTCTAAGCTCTCTTGGCAGAGGCGGTAAGGTGGGTCACCCGGGAGAGATGTGTGGGAACCCTCCTGCACAACTGCCTGTCCCCGTGGCGTGTGCAGGAGGCCCACGCGGCTGTTAGGAATTTATAGCAGCGTGCCCTGGCCGGCAGGGACAGACAGACTGAGCGAAGGAGGGCTTGGCAGTCTGGGGACCTGCGGGCAGGAGACAGGCTGACGGAGTTCCCCAGCCACAAACACGCTGGGCCTTCGGGGCGAGGGGAGAACGGCTGGGGCCTGGGCGGGTGCGGGGCGGGTTCGGGCCGGGGCCCCTGGAGACCACCGAGGCTCTTGTGACCAAGAGGGGTTTCCTGCTGGGTCTCAGACCTTGGGCACTGGTGACCCTTTATGCCTTCCAACTTCTCCCTGTTTGGGTGGGCCTGTCTGGCCCTGTCTGTCCTGTTGTATTTTGGGGACAGATCACTGGTTTTCTAGAGTTGACGGGTCCCCACCTGGAGAGGACTTTTACCCAAGTGTGGATCACATGCGCTTTTCCTCGTACCTGGCCCAGATGAACGAGACCCCGCGATTATGGGTTCTCTGAGCTACTGAGCGTTAGTTGAGATTTGGACGTAGGGCTGATACTGTCATGGGTTGAGACTTTGGGGTGTTGGGGTGTAAGGTGGACATGAATTTTGGGGTGCTAAGGCACAGACCGTAGTGGGTTTAGTGGTGGCCCCCGGAAGATGTCCATGCCCTTGAACCGTGAGTGGACCTCATTTGGGAAAGGGGGGTTTGAAGAGGTAGCTAAGGATCTCAAGGGAAGGTCATCCTGGATTGGGGTGCCCCTAGACCCAGGGACACGTGTCCTGGAAAGACCAGCCACAGAAGAGAAGCCCTGTGACAGGGAGGTGGAGACTGGAGGGACACGGCCGCAAGCTCAGGAGTGCAAGGGGCCCCCAGGGGCTGGGAGAGGAGGAGGGACCTCACGCCCCGGCCCCAGGCGGGGAGCTGCGGACCGACACTTGGATTTCTGACTTCTGGCCTCCAAACTGGAAGAGAAGCTCCCGTGGTTTTAAGCCGCCAGATTTGTGGGTCTTTGTGATACCGTCACCGGAGACTCACCGCGCGGCTCTTGGCGTCTGAGCTCCAGGGCGGCTACAGGACAGGCACGAGGGGTCCCATGGAGGCCTCTGCACCCCGCGTCGCTGGACTGTGGGCGGTCTGGCACCCCTCCCGCCTCTTCTGTCACACGGATCCGCCAGCCACAGCAAGACGGTACCTGTTCCGCCGAGACTTTGGACACGCCCCGAAGAGCCCACTCGGGTCACCTGCGGTTGCCCCGCGATTCAGCCGAGGAAAGTCCAAGCCGCCAGCCTTCCATTCAGTTCATGAAGAGCGTGGGCCCTGGAAGTCACCTACCCCCAGTCAGGGTGCGCTGGAGAATTGCCCTGGGCCGAGCCAAGCACAGGCCCGGGACCACAGCCCCGTGGCCTCTCCGCTGGGAAACAACACGGAGAAGAGTGACCCCAAGAAGCCACAGTGGGAGTCAGAACTGGGGCAACTGTCCGTCCCGAACCTTGGCTGTGGAACCGGAACCCTCCGGCGTTTCCATCTACGCTCACTTAGTTAACGTTGGCGGTTCTCATTAAAACGTGTGCCCCTCACGTGGGGCCTCGAGCACTTCCAGAATTCCCTCTTTCCTCCAGGACCCGCCTCCTCGGGCCCTCCAGGGGTTCTCGGGGCGGGTGGGCCTGAGGTGGGGGTGGGTGGGGCTGGGGGGCGGGTCCTCTGGGCCCTGCGTGGGGTGGGGTCCGCCTGACCGACCTGCTGCTAACAGTCTTGTCGCTTCTGTTTAAAGGAAGGAGCCTCAGCCGGAGCCCTCTCCAAGGTCAGTGCCCGCTTGCCCCCCGCTGCCCCGGGTATGCTGCCGTGCGTGGGGGCTGGCCCCTCCGTGTCTGTGCACTGTCATCGCGGGCCCTGTGCCCACGTGTGGAACTGTGTGTCTGGACCCTGCCGGCCACGCTGTGGGCCCTTAAATCACTTTGCCTGTGCTCAGCGCCCCCCGTCCGCCCCTGGCCCTGAGGCAGGAGACCTCTGCGAGCACCCCTAGTCCAGGGCAGGGCCAGACGCCCTCTCCCTGCCTCGTGCCTCTTTGGTGGAAACTGAGCCCTGGCCCTGTGAGTGTTTGCCTGTCCGGCCCCTGCAGGTGCCGCCTTCCGGTGTGCAGTCAGGCAGGTTAGAGACGGGGTCGCCCCCAACCCCACCGTGTGCGGGGACTCCGAGGGCTATCTCTGCTGGGAGCAGAGAAGGGGTGATAGCAATCTGATGTTTTCCTGTACTAAGAAGAAAATCGACTGTTTCATGACTTCCAAGTCTGATAAACCCCAGCCTGCCTGTGTATCACCATGCTGAGCCTGGGGTGCGCCCCCCCCCAACACCCTGCCGCGAGTCTAGTCCCTTCTGGACCGCAGGCCACTTAACTGGCCGCTCAAGTTAGGCTGAGCTCTACCCTCTCCATGCACCGGGGGAGGGCACGCTCCTCCCCACACGTTCCCCCAGAGGGGGTGACAGAAGACTGGCCACACTCTTGCCCCGAACCAGCCGCTGGAGCAAGGGTGACCAGCCCCTCAAAGCGGCTAAGAAAGCCGACCCTGGACCTGGCTGGTTTACCCGGCACACAGACCCCGTGCTCACCATCACGGGGGATGCAGAGCACATGCCCAGCACGGCCTGGTGTGTGGGGGACCAGGGGGGGCTGCCCCCCACGTCCTCAGTCCCCATCGCTGCTGCTGTGTCGGCCCTTCCGCACCCTGAGCCCGGGGGAGGCGGGCCCGCAGCTCTGCCCCGGTCCATCTGAGGCCCCCCGGCCTCACGCGGCCTCTCGTTCTCCTCCCCACGACTCTCGTCTCAGCGTCTCTCTCTCTCTCTCTCTCCTGCCCTCCCCCCAATTTGGACACTCTTGCCTGCCCCCCCAAGTGCCTTTAATCTTGTCACTGCCCTTCTCGGGCCCCTTTCACGTCCGTCTGTCTTTGGGGAGGAGGTGGCTGACCCTGAAAGCAGGACTCAAGGTGAGGACACACGGGAGCCCTCCCCCGGGCTCTCCGGTACGTTCCGTGGCTCCCCTCTCCCTGCTTTCCGCACACCACTCCTCTGTCTCCTCCCTGTGTGTCCGTGTGTCCCTGCCTGCCCGTGACCCAGTGGCTTCCCCGAGGGCTGGCCTGGCCCGGCCCTCCTGCTGGCGCACCCCGGGCTGAGCCCTGGGGACAGAAGGCCTCTCCTGGGACATACGCTTGTCAGCTCGGTGACGGAGGGCAGCGTTTCTGTCCCCTCACTCGGGGTGGCCACAGATCCCCTTTTCGGCAGCCAGAGCACCGTAGGGATGCCAGACATTCTTCTGCCGCCTGGGCCCCCAAGGGGGTGGGCCTGTCCCGGGGCTGCCGGGCAAGGGGACCCTGTTCCGTGAAGTGCTAACGGGGGTGTGGTTCCCCAGCCCCTCCTGCAAGGCAGTGGGAGGTAGTGGCCTCCTGCCACCTGCCACCTGCGTGCCAGGATCCCGCTGGCACTTACCAGTCTGGGCAGGTGGATGGGTGGGCACAGGGACCCTCACT